GGCGTCGGCCAGCGGGCACTGGACGCGTTGCAGGCCCTGGGGCATGACGTGACCCCGAAGCCGCAGAGCTCGGGCAACTGGATCATCCTGCTTGAGCCCGAGCGGCTCAAGCGCGCCATGGACAGCCTGGTGCAGGCGGCGGGCGTGACGCCACTGCTGCATTGCCGGGCCGTGGCCGTGCAGCAGGGTGCCGGCCGCATCGACAGCCTGCTGTGCGCCGACCCGCAAGGGCTGTTCGAGGTCCGCGCGCAGCAGTTCGTGGACGCGACCGGCAATGCCAACCTGGCGACCCTGGCCTGGCCGGAGCGCATGAAGCCGCGGCGCCAGGCGGCGACGCTGACGGCGCGGCTGTCGGGGCTGGACCCGTCCTGCCGCTACGACCGTGACGACCTGCGCCGCGCCGCGTTGGACTACGAGGCGCGCACGGGCGCGCCGCTGGCCCGCAGCAATGGCGGCTACTTCGTGCCGCTGCCCTGGAGCGATGCCTGCTGGGCCATGATGGTCGACGTCGAGCTGGACGACTGCTCCAGCCAGAGCCTCACGCAGGCCGAGATGCAGGCACGCGCCATCGCGCACGACTATCTGCAATCGCTGCGCCGGTGTGTGCCGGGCTTCGGCGCTGCGCAGCTGGATGTCACCGGGCCGGCGCTGGGCGTGCGGTCCACGCAGCACATCGCGTCGCAGCGCGACGCCGTCGTCGAGGACCTGATCCACGCGCGCCGCCACGCCGACGGCATTGCCCGCTCGGGCTGGCCCGGCGAGCTGCACCCCCGCGCGGGCGTCACCGAGTACCGCTGGATTGCCGGCGATGACTGGTTCCACATTCCATATGGCGCCTTGCAGACCGACGCCGACGGCAACTGCTGGCTGGCAGGCAGCAGCATCGGCGCGGACGACGCCGCCTTCGGGTCGGTCCGCGTGATGGGCTGCGCCTTCGCCACGGGCCATGCCGCGGGCGTGGCGGCCGCGCTGTCGCCGCAGGGGCGGCGCGCACCGCTGCAGGCGGTGCAACAGACTTTGATCGAACAGGGAGCCCTGATATGAATCCTCCAACCTCCACCCCGCCGCCTCGCCGCGTGCTGGTCACCGGTGCCGCCAGCGGCATCGGGCAAGCCGTGGCGCAGGCCTTCCTCGAAACCGGCGACGAGGTCGTGGGCTGGGACCTGCAAGCCGTGGCGGGCCAGGACTACCCGATCCACGCCGTGGACATCCGTGATCCAGAGGCCGTGCAGGCCGCTGCCGCATCACTGGGGCGGCTGGACCTGCTGGTCAACTGCGCCGGCATTGCCCGGCGTGCCCACGCGGCAACG